GGGAGGGAGGAAGGGGGATTCTTCAAGGCCGTTCAGTCTTTTCCTTTCCCCAGGTTGGGCCGGATCCTTTGGGGTGCTGTGCACCCAGCCTCCTGTGGGGAGTAGGTGGGGGCTGCCACTAGAGAGGTCCCGCTGCCGGGGGGTGGGATGGCGCCGGGGCCCCTCCGCGTCCTTGTTTGGTGAGTTGGCATCCTTCAGGTAGTTTTGAAGAAGCTGTACTTGCTAGGGAGAAAAGGAAATAAAAGTCCGTCGTTAGAGACGCAGTAACCTAAAGTGAACAAATTTATTTAAAGTCTTGTATTCCCTCTCCCCTAAAATACAGTGCTTTTATTTAAGAGGAGAAACGTTAACCCCGAACCCCAGCTTTGACTCTGTCATTTGTTACTTGAAATTTAGCTCACACCAGAACTAATTGTTTTTATACCATATTCTGGGGTGCACCAAAAAGTTGAAATACGTTTAAAATAGCTTGAAACTTTTCTTGAATTTCCTTGAATTTTATTAACCTCTCGGCGGGCTACCAAATAGCTGAGTGGGTTTCTTCTCACAGTCACACTGCTTAGTTAGTGCTTATTTGTTAATATTTCTGCTCAGAGAAGTTGCTTAATCTTCCATATACTCTGCTCAGGGCACTTGCAATTTATTGTTTCGTTTTGTTTCCTGTTTTGTTTTTAAGCTTTGATGGTAAAGGAATACTAAGAATTACAGATTTTAGTTGGCAGTCGTACCACTATTTCCGTACTTCACGCATACTCGGGAAAAAAAAAACAAAATCTCAAGTAAAACCATAACGCGTACACATTTGTGGTTAATAAAGAAGCAGGGGCTATTAAACTGACTGGATCTATTCAACTAACACTAAAAAACAAAAAAATAAAAAATAATAATAATAAAAAAATACGTTTGGAGCAATAGGAATGTATTAGTTCTGTGCTTGTATTTCAGACTGAGGAATTCTGAAATAACTGGTTCTTTCCAAACAATTGTCCCTTTCCATGCTTTGGCTTTTGTAGGATGTGCAATACTTTACGTGCCAACTTAGACTCACCCGTGCGGTGTTAGCTAGATCTCATACCCACTTCTGATTTCCCCTGGTTTTTTGTTCTTGTTTAAATAGTTTCTTTCTTTCTACTTTTTTTTTTTTTTTAATTTTATTTTTTGTTGTCCCTATTAATAACTCCCTCCCTCTCCTCCCCCCACCGTAAAAAAAAAAACAAAAACAGAAAAACAAATCACAGTAAGGGTCAAGCATCCCT